GCTATTCAACAACGGCCAACAAACGACGACCGTTTGTTGGCCGTCGTTACCGATTGGTTACGGCCAGATCTTTGGCCTTAGATCTGGCCTTTTCCAGCCAGATCCACGGTGGATCTGGCTAAAAAAGGCTACATCGGCGCACTACCGGTCGGCATCTGGTAAATGTGGATTGTTGGGGTGTTTTTGCAGTTTTTTAAAAAATATTTAGGGGTATTGAATTAAATTAACAAATTTAGGGGGTTTAAAAAAAGTTGAATAATATTGAATAATATTGTGAGTTTTTTGGTATTTTACTGTTTAACTTTTTTGGGAATACTAAAAGTAGTATTCCCAAAATGCAAACAAATGAAGCCTTAGTGTTTACAATTTGACGCCCACCGTGAGGCCCTACCAACCAAATGATCCAGTGCAACCTGTTGTTCAACCTCTCCTAGTCCGTTCGGCTCTCATGGCCAATCCCAACGAAAGTGTAGCGGTAGACACCGTGGCCCAAATCGAAGCACTCATTGTGCTGGTGTAGGAAAGCAACAAGAGGTATCAAGCCCTAGAAACGCAGAATGCCACCATCCGCTCTGAGAATCAAGCTCTCCAGGATAAGGTAAATCAATTTTACTCCCTAGATTGGTAATTCAACTAGCATCATGCATCTACATCTCAATCCCCTATTCAACCCCGACAACTGTTCTTTAGCCCAGACGGCGGCACCTTCACCAACACCGACAATAACCAAAATTAAGGCAATCCTATAGACGTGGCCGAGTCGAATTAGGAGGAGTATCCCCACGAATCTACCTATCCAACTACCGATCCGGATGACCACATAGCCTCCTACAAGCAAAGAATGTTTGTCGACACCATACCAAGGGACCTTCGCGAAGCATGCATGTGCAAAAGCTTCAGCTCCAGCTTAATAGGACCCACGCTATAATGGTACACCAACCTCCCAAACCACTCCATCACTTTATTCGCCCAGTTCACGGATACCTTCGTAGAGCAATTCGCTAGTAGCAAAAAATTAGAGAAGTTATCCGGTGACCTGTACCGAATTTGGTAGCATCGTGGTGAGCCCCTACGAGACTACGTGGGATGATTCAACCTTGAAAAGGTCTCCATCCCATATTACAACCAAGAAACTGCGGTCGACGCCTTTAGGAAAGGCCTGCTCCCAGATGGGGAGTTGCACAAAGAACTCATAAAGTTCAACTATGGCACCATGGAGGATGTGTTGGCTCGTGCTTGGGTTGAGATAAGGTGGGAGGAAGATGAGGTTCATCGAGCCCAACAGAGCGCCTACGAGGATTGCCGCACTCAGCGCCTTGATAAACGACGAGACAGAAGACCAGCGGAGCCTTACCCAGTGAGAAGAGTTTTCGTTCGAGACAACAAGCGCCAGCTGGACCATCATCTGGCTCGGACTGACGAGTCCCACGCACCACCCAAGTATAAGCTACCTGATTACGACCTCAATATTGAGCCACCTGAAGTGGTAGTGGTGATGAAGGAAATGGGAAACGTGGTCAAATGACTGGCCAAGTTGAAACACCCCGGAGCAAAACGGGACACAAATAAGTGGTGCGAATTTCACGGAGATCATGGCCACAACACCATCAACTGCATTACACTTTGCCTCGAAGTCGCTGAGCTGCTAAAGAGATGACACCTCCGCAAGTTCCTAACGGACAAGGGGAAAAACATCGTGACCAACAGAGAGCGCCAGGTTACTCCGCCACCAAAAGCCCCCCCAGCAGATGCAATGTGAGGGGTCATTTCAGGCAGATCGGAGGTTAATGGGGTCAGCAACTCCACAACGAAGCGCCATGCCCGGGCTGCAGCCAACCCACAACTCTCTAGACTGCCATAGCAAAGAGCTACCAACCTAACAATTGAATTTGTGGATAATGAGGTGGCAACATTACTAAACACCCCATCACGATGCGCTTGTGGTTACTCTCCAGATCGCCAACAATACTGATAGATCTCGGCTCTTCCGCTAATATCATGTTCCTCGAAGCATTCAAGGTGATGAGGCTGGAGGAATCAAGCATGAACTGTCGTCCAATGATCATTGTGGGATTCAGTTTAGAACAAAAATACACCCTAGGAGAAATTGCCTTACCAATCTATGCTGAAGGGATTAACAAACAAACAACCTTCATGATACTGGACGCCCCTTCTCCCTACAATGTGATCCTCGGTCGGCCATGGATTCATAACATGCGTGCCGTACCCTTAACCTTCTATTAGACAATCAGATTCCCCACCAAATGGTGTATCAAAGAGATAAAAAGAGACCAGAAAGCTTCTAGAGATTGTTACCAAAACGCCTTCAAACTGAACCATGGTGCCTTGTAGCAACTACAGACACCTCCAGTCGGACAGACCAACTGACAATGGAGGAGTTAGATGAGGTCCAGATACACCTGGAGTTCCCAGACCGAAAGACACAAATAGGCTCTCGACTCTCACCTGACATCCGTAGAAAGCTGGTCGACTTCCTAAAGAAGAATCAAGATTGCTTTGCCTGGTCTCACTGCGATATGATCGGGATTGATCTCGAGGCCATCATGCACAAACTAAATGCCGACCCGGGCTTCCCTCCCGTAAGGTAGAAGAGAAGAGGATTCGCCCCAGAGAGAAACAAGGTGATCAACAAAGAGGTGGAGAAACTGCTCGGGAATGGCTCGGCCCGAGAGGTTCAATACCCAGACTGGCTGGCGAACGTGTTGGTAGTGAAAAAGATAGAACAGAAAATGGAGAGTTTGCATCGACTTCACCGACCTAAACAAAGCCTACCCAAAAGACTTTTTCCCACTCCTCCACATTGATATGCTAATGGATGCCATCGCCAGACACGAATTGCTCAGCTTCATGGATGCCTTCTTCGGATACAACTAGATACTAATGCACCCAAAGAACCAGGAGAAGACCGCCTTCGTCACAGAGCAAGGTATATATTGCTACAAAGTGATGTCGTTCGGCCTTAAGAACGCCGATGTCACCTACCAGCGACTAGTGAACAAAATGTTCTCCAATTTGCTTGGAGGCTCCATGGAGGTCTACATCGATGACATGTTGGTAAAGTCACTGATCGCCGAACAGCACCTCAAGCACCTTAGGCAAGCCTTCGAGGTATTGCGAAAATACAACATGAAGCTAAACTCGACCAAATGCTCTTTCGGCGTATCCTCAGGTAAGTTCCTCATATATATGGTGACGCAGCGCGGTATTGAAGCCAATCCAGATCAAATCGAAGCAGTGCTACAAATCCCCTCCCTAATTGGCATAAAAGACGTTCAACGCCTCATAGGAATGACAGCTGCCTTGAGCTGTTCCATCTCTAAGTCCGCGGAAAAATGTCACCTCTTTTTCTCGACACTTAGGAAGTCGAAGAAGTTCGAATGGACGAAGGAATGCGAAGAAGCGTTGGTCCAACTAAAGCGGTACCTGACGTCACCCCCACTACTCTCCAAACCAAAGATGGGTGAACGTCTCTTTTCTACCTGGCAATATCGAAGTCATCCACTTGGGCCGTCCTGATCCGGGAGGAAGAAGAAAGGCAACTCCCAGTCTACTACATCATTAAATCTCTTCTCGATGTCGAAAGTCGGTACAACCAACTCGAGAAGTTGGCCCTCGCTCTGATCACAGCCGCCTGGAAGCTGCGATTGTATTTTCAGTGCCACCCCATCACGGTCCTAACATCTTACCCATGGAAAAAGATATTGCACAAGCCAGATCTATCGGGTCGGCTCATTCAATGGGCAATGGAATTAAGCGAGTTCGACATCACCTTCCAACCCCACACCGCCATTAAGTCTCAAGTGCTAGCTGACTTCATTGTCGACTTCACACCAAACACCTTCCTTCAAGTAGAAAAGGAACTCATATGCTTGACTGACCACACGCCTTCGAAATGGACACTGACAGTGGACGGTTCAAGTAACGCCAACAGCAGCGGCTTGGGCCTGGTACTAATCTCTCCAAAGGGAGACATTCTACACCAAGTTGTTCGGTGTGGCTTTAAAACAACCAACAACAAAGCCGAGTACGAGGAGCTGATCGTCAGACTCTCATTGGCCAAAGGAATAGGGATTAAAAAGATACAAGTGAAATCGGATTCGCAATTAGTGGTAAACCAACTCCAGGGCTCCTATCAGGCACGAGACACCAAGATGAACATGTACCTGACCATAGCCAAAGGACTCCAATCATCTTTCAAGGAATGCACGATCAGCAAGATCCCATAGACCGAAAACTCCCATGCAGACGCTCTCGCCAGCATTGGCTCGACGCTTAAGACCGAACAGCCAACGACGATCCCACTAGTACATTTACCAACATCTGTGATTGCTCCAAACCCGACCGAAGTTGCTCCAGTCACCTCAGACGACTCGTGAATGACACCCATCCTGCACTACTTAGAGAACGATAAACTCTCCAAGGATAAAAACGAAGTGTGGCGGCTTAGAGCTAAAGCGGCACGATTCACCGTTCATGAGAGCCGCCTACTCAGAAGATCATTCTCAAGACCATACCTCAGATGCATCACCCTAGAAGAAGCAAAGTACGTACTCGCAAAGCTCCACGAACTTTTTCATGTTAAACCAATCAACTTAGGACCCGAGAACTTTGTCAGGTTTTACCCCGAGTTGGTTATTAAAACATTGCTCTTTATATCCAAACTGAAAGTATATGAACCACAGAGCACATCTAAGAAAATACCTCTTCAAGTTGCAAAATAAACTTTTTAACTTGTTCAGGTAATACAAACAGAGTTATTTATTACGAACCAAATCAGATTAAATACAATTGCTTTTACCAGAGGCCAATGTATATACACCGTAGTTTCCATGGAAAGCATAGTAAATTCCCACAGAAAAACTCTATAGTACATAAATTCTATTATAATCACCACTGTACAACCTCACCAAATTTCATCGTACCGTACTACCGTATGTCACCAAAGAGACTCATTCTTTGGTTTTTTTTTTTTTTAATTTATTATTATTATTATTTTAAGTATCTAATCTACCCTCACCTTCAGCATTTTCACTACCAAGTAGCCAAAGAATCTCATGACATGGAAATTCATAAAATAAAATTTAGACCAATCCATTTCATGAGTGGCCACATGATAAAAGGAAAGAAGAAAAAGATGGAAGAAGTTAATAAAATTCCATTGTGCCTGATATGGTAGCCGGGGGGTTGATTTCAATGAGGGTTGCTTTCCCTTCTGAATGCAATTGTGGCAACGTGTTAGCCTCCTTCGGTGGAACTCCCTCTCCAGTCCATATGGTAACATGGGGCCACTCGTTTCTGGAAACAATCTTTTCTCCATCAACAGAACCAAGTTGAGCTTCCAATGCAGCCATTTTATCGGTGAAGAGCAATGCCGTCAATTCAACAGGTACCTTTTGATGGAGGAAGGGACCATAACTGGCAACAGCTGGAACACCGTGGCTCCTCTTGTGAGCCAGAGTAACATGTGCCTTCTTCAGGCAATGCTCCATGTCTTTGTCCTTGAAAAAGAGCTCAATGTTTGGATCCTTCCCAGACAACTGCTCAAATGAGAGGTAAAAGGAGAGATGGTCAATGGATGGGGCAAAAGTGAATAATGAGATGTTCATGATGTACACTACTAGTAGATGATAAACAAAATTACTCCCATTTCAACCCTTTTTTAAATTAAAAAGAAAGTCCATGGGAAAAGATTAGTTCCTCTAGAAAAATAGCCCTGCAGTTAATATAGATAAATAGGCTTGCCCATATTTATTATCCCTAAGAAAAAAGAAGAGATGCAGATTGATTTCTTTATCCAATGTCATTATTTCTAGACGCCTCATAGTATTGATTACATTGACGATGATTATAACTCAACCTTGCAAAGTAGAATTGTATTGAACTACCCTTGAAATCATGAACTTCAAAGACATTACAGCAGATGAACAATTGAGCTAAAGCATATCAGCCCAATGGCAGACTTTAGGGAAAATCTCATATGTTTAGACTTGAGTTAGATAAAAACCCAATGTTTTACAGCTGGGAAGAATCGTCCACTTACATTTTTAAGGAGGCTTTGGATCTCTGTAACAGGTAAAGAAACAGCAGCAAAAACAATGGCTCCAGACGTCCTCTTCTCAGTACTCGGTGTTTCCTGCTCACCCTTTGCAACAAGCCTTAGTTGTTCCAACACTTGCTTAACTGCAGACTCAAACGGAACCTGAGAACAAACAATGTGTTAAGAAAAAAAATCACTATTTGACCCAACTGATATGACTTGAGGCATCATAATGTATGTTAAGGAATAAAAATAAGAGATGTTGACCTGAACAGAGCCAATATAGTCAGCATTGCTGTCTAAAGTGTCTCGCAACTGTTTCTCCCATTTAGCCCATTCCTTTGCATAAGATCCTTTGGTGGACTCCAATCTAAATATGGAATGAAAAGCAGATATGTAAAACATACCCAGAGGCCAGAGAAGCAGTAATGGTAACAGTGGTACTTTAACAGCAGAATAAAAACAAAAGTACCAAGGTTAATAGATACCAGGAAAGAAAGGGGAATATCAATAATAACGATCATGATCAATTGATGGTAATACCAACAACAATATGAGAAATATTTTTCATTTTACTCGAAAAAATTCTAGAAAGCAACTAACAGAGACAGTGTTCATGCTTCTACATAATCTGGTCAAAGCTCAAGGAGTCGCAAGAAGTTATTAAAAGCATTGATAAATTGTTATAAAATTGGAATTTACAAACACCAAAAAATTTCAAATCTAATCTCTCGAATATCAAAATTTGAAAGTAAGCCAATTGCTATACTCAAGCCATAAATGATCTTTATCACTGGCAAATGATATAGCCTGTATTCTGTTAATTTGAAGCTTGTACAGATTAGTTAAGAGATGTTTACATGTTATACAAGAAGTGGCAGTATGCAATGTTATGATGTGGATAAGAATCAATAGTATTACTCATCATATACAGAAATGTAAAGATTTGTCACCAACCTTCCATGTCTGTTAGTGTGAAGCTTGTACAGATTTATACCCTCCTCCAAAACAGACTTCACACCATCAGGCAGAGGACTCCTGCATATTAAAGCACATAAATTACTACAGTGAACTGCATGACAAACCAGAATATTAACAATCACATAACATCAATTACATCAATCCATAACAACAAACGATAACATGACATCCATTAATAATCCCTAACAAGAAGTCATAATTCTATTTTATACAGAAAAATAAGGAAGCAAAAAACATGCAAATGGATCAAGGGGAAGACAGGAAAAACAAAAAGGAAGTCAAGTAACTTAACGACCAAAATTCAAGAGGAAGTGAGAAAAAAGGTTTTAATAAAAGTGATACTGTAACATTATATGCTATTACAAATATACAATCGAGCATATGATGTATAAGCAGAAAAAAATAGTCGTTAAATCAAAGGCCAGTATCACCTCAAAACAACAATAAACAGGGCAAAACTTTTATGCTTCTGCAAGTATCTTTAATGGGAAACATCCTTACCTGTCATCTTTAAGTAATGGCATTTTGATAAGAGAACCAAAACGTTCAACTAATTCCCTCTCAAACTCTTCACGGCTCTGAAAAATTAAAGGATAGATTAAAGAAAATGCTTTCAATATAGGTTGATCTATGGCATACCAGTTGAAGGATATAACATTATACCTTGCCATCATAAAGGTGATAAAACATTAGCAGCACATAGCCAGCATTTGGAGAATTCTTGTCAAGATTCCCCTAAATTCATGTAGCAATAAAAAAAAAGTAAGAGGATTGCAACATATATTGTTAAAGGATGAATATTATTACTGGAAACTTACCCATTAGCTTAAGCATTTAAATCAAGTGGTAACCAAACATATGGCCAAAATGTTTTTAACTTAAAATTTTGTCTTAAAGAGTTTGACATAAATTACCAACCATCAATCTCCCTTGATCAAAAAGTGTACAGTGTAGTTTAATTAACGATCAAATCTCACTTTTTGGCTTTAGTTCTCAACCATTGGATTAGATGGAATTGAAGGACAGAAATTTTGTGTCAAATTTTTTATGTCAAGAATAAAAATCCAACTCATATATATCTATGTATAAGTTCAATGACACAAATTATAAGATCAATGCTCCACAAACAGTTAAGATTCAATTTACTTTGAACAATTAGTAATTCTTAGATATAACACAAGTTAAATTAAACTCAATCACTCAAATGCAATAATCGAAAGACTCAAAAATTGTATTACTTGTATATATATAGCGTTAGGAAACCTTACAAATTAGAAAGACAAAGATGAATACATACCGGATGATTAACTCTTTGAAGCACACGAAACATGAAAACAGCTAATGCATCGAGAGAAAAGGGATTTGTATCCGTTCCTGTACAGTCAATGCACAATGAAAATCATACAATGGGAAACAAATATATGTATTGACATGAAAAATCAAAAACCAAGACTGCCACTTCAAGCTAAACTATTTTCATAAACCATCTAGAGAGCAGCTTAAACACTGTTATGCATCATTAAAGCACTTTGATGTTTTGAGAAAAGGAAAGGTAAAAATCAAAGAAAGATTTATTTGCCTCATTCTCTTGATAAGAAACAAGCTACAGTGGACACGCAGTGGCCCGTTTTATAACATGTAGCAGCCAATACCTGCATAGTGTTTCTCTATGGTGCGATAGAGCATATAAATAACATGCTAACACAATTAGCTGGCATGCTAGCATATATCTAATCCATTTTGATATATTGAATAACCATCAGGTCTCTGGAAGTATGTTTAATCAGATAAAGATACTCGTTAAACAAGAAAGCAACACAGTTGAGCATCCCACTCAAGCCCTTCCTTCCCATATTTGGAGGTCTTGGTTGCAAATTAGTACCAGAGAGAACTCTAAGGCTAAACCTCACAACTCTACGAAATGGTCATGTTGCATTTAAAGTAATTACAAAGTTCCAATATTAGAACTTCTCATGAAACAGAAAATGACTGTAAAAGTAGGAAAAGGGAGATTACTTAAAAGAAATTGACCTAGACTTCCAACGAAAATCTAGTCAACTAACATAAAGAGAATGTGATTTGCTGATCCTCTATAGCATGACGAATATTTATACTGAATCTCTAACAATTGACTTTCCATATGAAAATCTTTAGGTTTTAGAGAGACAGAAATATCCTCAACACAGAAGAAATAAAGCAAGCTAGATAACCTTTAGAATCAGGTACAACAGGAACTGCAGAAGCTCTAGTGCTGCGGCACATGCTTTCGATCTGCACTAACAGAAAAGAACCATCAGAAGCCATATTTTGATTCATTCCAAAATCAAAAGGATCCCATCAGAAATATCCATGCTCATTAAGAGAAGAATTTTACACTAGCTAGTCAATAGGCAAATAATGTCAAGAAGCTATTTTCATAATATTTTATATTAACTTATTTCCTATTTGATGGTTTTTTTTTTTTTTTTTTTTTTTCCCCAACAAATTGATTACATACTCCTAATTTTGGGTAGGTATTGAAGAACAATTGTTTAATTTGAGATGATCAGTTTCAAAGTGATTGAACTGATGGCCAAATCTTCTTGAACCGCCATCCCAGTCTTTCCCTATTTTATTCTTTCAAATGATATGACACTACTTGAAACAACAAACAACAAAAAGAAGCAAACCCGGAAAGAAAGAGTCAAGCTTTATCATAGAGAGCTTCAAAACAAGCAAATTCATGCATGAAAAGGGCACAAAAGAGGAACCAAAACAAAAAGACTCACTGATGAGGTGTTGAAAGGTGGTCAAGAAAAGGACAGGTGGGGTCAATTTAGAGGGTGAAACACGTCAGTTAAGAACCCAATTTGAAGAAGAAGAAGTTGGGAAGTTGCAGATATTGGGTAAGTTACATTATTTGCAGAAAAAAAAGAGAGCTTTTTTGGTTTTGGTTTTGGTTTTGGTGGACACAACCATGAAAGCCAAAACTTCGATAGTACCATAACACCAGAGACAATGTGGTAAAGTTAGTCAGGTAATTTTTTGTTTATTAAATTTGTTAATGACAAATATTCCCCTGAGGTTTGATTAAATAACAAAATTCCCTTGAGGTTCCTAAACTAACAGAAATTACCCTACTGTTAGTATTTACTATTTAGGTGTTAAAATCAACAGTAAAATGGCAATTCGGTAAATATCTGTCCACCCATAACAGTTTATACTAGGGGCGTTTGGTTCCGGATACCCTGCACTTTTAGAAGGAACCGGAACCGACGGTTCCTTGAAATTTGAAACTAGAACCACAGCAGACTGTTCCGATTCCTAGGTATCCAGAACCAGAACCTGTAACAACGGTTTCGGTTCCGATTCTGGGTACCCTGTAAAATTACATGACCCTCCAAAAGTTTTTAAAATGGTAAAAAAACCTTAAAAACTTACAAATACCCCCCACCTGGCACTTGTTAACAAAAATAAAATTACAAATTATAAATTCAAAATTACAAACTCCATTACTTTATAAAGGTGGATTCTCAAAAGTCAAACCAACTAACTTTAAATGTTATGGAATATAAATATAAATGTATTCACATTACTTTTTCTACAAAAATTTTTATTAACTCTCCTAATATTTAATTTTATTTTATATTAGTTTCGGTTCCTGGTTCCTGGTTCCAGTTCCGGTTCCTAACTATAGGAGATGGAACCAGAATCGCACAGTAACAATTCTAAAAATTTGGAACTGGAACCTACCCATTGACGACTAGTTCTGGGTAGGAACCAGAACAAAACCCAGAGTACCCGCCGGTTCCAGTTCCAACCGGTTCTTTTGAACACTCCTAGTTTATTCACTAAAGATACGGGTGTTTTTGTTATTTCTGATACATAGAAGGTATTTTATTACTATATTAAACTTCAGGGGGCCTATGAAACTCTTTCTTTAATTTAATGTGTTGTTTTGTTTATAGTATTTGAAGGGAATTATGAGTTGGTAGGAAATGGATATGGTGTGGATGGATTTATTTTAAGAACTGTGAGGTTTCATCGTGGACATTTGTTGGCGGGCTACATTATGACGGCTGATTTGAGTGAGACCGTTTGATTGATTGATGATTGAGATTGACCCACTAATCTATAACCTGTCGAGAATGTAAATTCACTATACCTTACATACTTTAGTTTATTAATTTCCCTTAAATTCAGTCAATAATTGTTATATTTCTTAAGTGAGGAATTGTCTAAGATCACAAGATTACAACATAACCAAATAAAATATTAATTATTTTAATTAAGTTGAAATTGCTTTTCTTTCTCCTGTCTTTTTTAAATAAATACATCGAAATGAAATATTTTATTTTAGAGCGGTTCTAATGTGTGTTCTTAGTTAATAATTAATGATAATTCGTAATAAAAAATCACTTTTTTTAAATCTTAAGGCATGAATTATTTCAATTAAAAATTTTGAATTAGAGTATTTTATTAATAATTACAATAGTACTCGAGTAAGAGACAAGAATATTTTATAAATTGAGACAAATTATTAGTTTGTAAGAGAATTATTTATGGTAAACCCTCCTGTGTTTCACAAAATACAATAGTTCTGATTTGGAAAATAGGAGTTTAAACCCATTTCCTCAATTTCATCAATAGTTTCATTAATAATTAATTATTGTTTTCTTTTTATCTTTGTTAAAGATATGATTGACTTTTCCATTATTTCACAAAATGATAACTATCTTCCTTCTTTCTTTTCTCTCTTTCCTTTTATCGCCTTTCTCGCTTTTTATTTCCATTTTTTTTTCTCGCATCTCTAACCAAGTCAAATAATGGAAAAGCAACCTAAGGAGCTGCAATAGAAGTCGGCATGGCAATTCCGGGGCCCATTGCGGCCCATACGGGGAGAGATTCCCAGGTTTTTGCGAGGATATGGGCATGGATAAGATTAAACCCTTTATAGTGATATTTTATATAGAATAATATTTATACAATTATAAAAATTCTAATTCTAATTTAGGATAATTATAAATAAGAATAAACTTCACATTGTAATAAATTATAATTTTTCTAATTTTTGTTTTAAAAAAGTTGTCTCTATATAGTAATAATTATTTAAAAATAACAAATATATATATATATATTATATTATATATATATTATATATATATATATATATACATATAACATTAAAGGTTTAAGATGAAATAAATTTTATTTAAAATTCTTTAGAACAATGATTTATGCTTTGAGTTGCTACCACATCTTTTGACTTACGGTACGTAATACATCACTAGAATGGATACTTGCAGGTACGTAAAACCTCGCTAGCTGGATATTTTTTTGTTGAAGCCAAAATATTCTAGCTTCTTAAGCATGTTTAAAGCTTTTCGACACGAAACTTTTTGTATTTCCGTACTATCATTCTTAGGATTATTCTCTTTCTCTTATCTAATTACAACAATGACTACTAAAACATTGAATTGAAATCCTAATATATACTATTAAAACATGAATTATAAAATAAAAAATCAAAATAGTAATTTCTGTAACTACACCTCTATTAAGTTATAACCTTCTTATACTGTATATAAAATAAAATAAAATCAAAACAGTAATGCTTAAATGGTTTTTGTTTTGTTTCTTCAGTTGGTGTAATTTATCAAATACATAATGAGTCTGTATTTTGGACAAGTGCAGTGTCTTACCTCAAGTTTAGATGATTAACTTAAGTGTTTGTCATGTTGGAAAAAGAATTAACTATTGTGTTTGGTAATGCTCAAATAGTTTTTGTCATGTGTTTGTTCTCATAATTGATGTTAATGTAAAATTAATGCGACAAGGATGGGCCTCTAAAATTCCCCGTGGGGGTGGGGGTGGGGAATCCCCATCATCCCTATAACAGGGGTGGGGAATGGGGTCCCCGCCCCTGCCCCATTGCCATGCCTAGATAGAAACTTTTGCGGTGGTTTACAATGACTTTGGAAGTGGTTTTGTAGTAGTTGATGAGGTACTTAGTGGTGGTTCATGGTGAACTATAGGTAGCTTTTTGGTGGTATATGCCATATGGTGGGCGATGTTGGTTGAATTTAGTGTTTAATTATTCCACTTGATTCTTAAATTGTTGGGTGGAAGGAAAAAAATGATCAAGTTTGTCTGGTGAAAAAGAAAATTTAATAAGTTTGTGCATAATGAGTGAGATATTGACTAGTTTAGGGGTACTGTCTAGATTAACAAATTAAGGTAAAAGGGTAATAAGGTCTTTTCAAAATTGAACATATTTTCATTAAGGAACATAGATGGAATGGTTATGATCTATTTATCATTTCATTAGACCACAATTTACTGAGATATGTTGAAAAAGAAACATAGACGAAATGGTTATGATCTATTGATCGAGTTTGTCTAGTGAAAAAGAAAATTTAATAAGTTTGTGCATAGTGAGTGAGATATTGACAAGTTTAGGGGTACTATCTAGATTAATGATGGGCCAAAATTCGTATTGGACCTGACGAGGTCCAACCGGAACAATAATGAATGACGGCCCAGAGCCTTAGCCCAATCCCGATTGGGCTCACGCTTAGAACACCTTGGGAACTGCCTACTCTATGAGTTGGTCCATCCCTCGAGTTAAGCTGAACTGGGTTTGGCCCATTTGTCTGCAGCAGTCCATAACGAGGATCAGAATCCTAACCAAACTCCTCTACCAACAAAGCCTTGACAGATAGGCAAATAATCAAATCTCTTCCCGAAAAGAGAGTTCCCTTACCAAATAGGACTCAGAGTCCTACTAGGATTCAGGCCCCTGCAGTTCACTATATAAGCTAAGGTCAGCCCATCGTAAAGGGGATCATCAGAAAACCATACAGCTCACATCGTTGAATCCATTACCTACCTCAATCTCCTAACATTGCTTGGACTCCCCATGAGAGATGCTAGGAGGCACCCTACAGGTTCACCAAGTCGTCAGTGGCTCACTTCACAGGATTCATTCTTCAACTCGATTGTAAATTTTAGCGTTTACAATTTGGCGCCCACCGTGGGGCCCTGCCAACCAAACGATCCAGTGCGACCTGTTGTTCAACCTCTCCTAGTCTGTTCGGCCCTCATGACCAATCCCAACGAAAATGCAGCACCAGACACTGCGGCCTAGATCGAAGCACTCACTGCGCTGGTGCAGGAAAGCAATAAGAGGTATCAAGCCCTAAAAACACAAAATGTCGTCATTCGCGCCGAGAATCAAGCTCTCTAGGATAAGGTAAATCAATTTTATTCCCTAGATTGGTCATTCAACC